AACCCTTCAGGTTGTGTCATAAAGACATCCTCAAGGAGGTTTCCATTAAGGAAAGCCGTTTTGACGTCCATCTGCCAGATTTCGTAATCATGGTATGCTGCGATAGCAAGTAAGATCCGAATGGATTTAATCATGACAACTGGAGAAAAAGTTTCGTCATAGTCGATACCATGTATTTGACGATATCCTTTTGCTACCAGTCGTGCCTTGAAGGTTTGCACCTTACCATCCATGTCAGTCTTCTTTTTGAAGACCCATTTGCACCCAATGGGTTTGATCCCTTCGGGTGCATCAACCAAAGTCCATACTTGGTTGGTGTACATGGAATCCATTTCGGACTGCATGGCTTGACGCCATTCCTCAGCCTCGGGACAACTGATTGCCACGAGGTAGGTCTCCGGCTCATCCTGGTCGATAAGCATTACGTCACCCTCAAAGGTTTGGAGGAATCCATACCTTTCAGGTTGTGTGCGTAACCAGTTAGACCTACGGGGTTCTTGTGTATCTTGAGCATTTTGAGGTATAACAGTTTGTTCCTCTAGCTCATGTTCCAGAACCGGCGCGATAGTTTCTTCGTCGTCTCGAATTTCTTCGAGCTCTATCTTTCTCCCGCTAGTTGCGATGGAGAGAAATTCCTTCTCGAGGAAGACACCATTGCGAGCAACGAATACCTTCTTATCGATAGGGTGATAGAATGAATACCCTTGAGTTTCCTTTGGGTATCCCACGAAGAAACACTTATCAGACTTGGCGTCAAGCTTGCCATTCGTCAAACGACGTTTGACATAAGCCTCACAGCCCCAAATCTTTAAGTGTGACAGAACCAGGCATTTGCCCGTCCATAGTTGGTATGGTGTTTCTTCAACCGCCTTGGTTGGAACTCTGGTAAGAGTATATATTGCAGTGCTCAGCGCATACCCCCAGAATGATTCTGGTAGAGTCGAATGACCCATCATAGAACGAACCATGTCAAGCATGGTTCGATTCCTCCTTTCAGATGTAGCTTGGATATGCGTTTCTCGTTTATATGGCCTAACCTACAATGCCATAGGTATGTTTGGTTCAAACCGTTCGGTTTGTTCCTCTTGGCTGATATGTTATAGACAGGCATGTCCAAGTCAAGGACATATAACCCATTGGTCATGTTGGCATTAGCATAGAAAACATTCTTTCTGTAAACGGAAAGGGACTTGTC